TGAACCATGAACACACACACACACACACACACACACACAGCACCCTCTCTAACAGGGTGCCTTTGCTCACTTTTCAAGGCGATTGATTGGCTAGGTGTCTGCAGTGCAGTCGATAAGGCCAAGCAGCAGTAAGAGACACACACGCACACACACACATACACACACTAGCACACACACACACAGACATACGTTGTTAAAAAAACACAAAAAACAAGGCTCAGGTTACTACAGTACAAACTGTCTGTCCACACATTCTTTCTCTCTTCCTCTCTTTTTGTGTCTCTCATCCTCTCTCTCTATGTGCATATGTCTCTCTCTCTCTCTCTCTCTCTCTCTCTCTCTATTTCTCCTCATTTCTTTCTTGCTCAGCACCCCGTCTGATGGTCCCAGCTGTGTCTGACCAGTATAATATTATCAGTCAGCACAAAACAATGCACATGCGCACACACACACACACACACACACACACACACACACACACACACACACATCTGCCTCTCTCTCTGCGTCACACTCTCTGAGCAATACCAGCCTTTCTGTCTTTCTGTCCAGTCTAATGAAGTGTGGGATCAGTTTCGGCAAGCCTATACACACACACACACACACACACACACACACACACAAACTAAACCATGAAAACAGAATATGTGCAAACAGAAGCAGAGCAGACATGAGAGAGTGAAAAACATGCCAATTCTCCACTGGACATTCAAATAGAGAGAGCAAGACTCACAGCTTCTCTCGCTCTCTTTCTCTCTCACGTCTGGAGCCTGAATCTCATCAGCATAGAAACAGACAGCAGAACCACGACTGACTTAAGTAGGTAGGTGTGTGAGCGTGTGTGTTTGTGTGTGTGTGTGTGTGTGTGTGTGTGTGTGTGTGTGATTTCACAGCTGAGAGAGCACAGGGTCGAGGAGTGTCATAGCGAGAGGGAGAGAGAGAGAGAGAGGTGATAGAGAGAGAGACAAAGAGAGACAGAGACAGAGAGGAGAGAGCAGCAAAAAGAGAGAATGAGAAAGAGAAGAGAGAGGAGACAAAGAGAGAAAAAAGACAGAGAGAGGAGAGAGAGAGGGACAAAGAAGGACAGAGGGGAAAGAGGGGGAAAGAGAGAGAGAAAAGGACAGAGAGAGAGAGGAGAGAGAGTGGCAGACAGTGAGAGGAAAGAGAGAGAAAGACAGAGAGAGAGGAGAGAGTGGCAGACAGAGAGAGAGGGAGAAAGAGAATATAGAAGAGAGACAGAGAGTAAGAGAGGGGGAGGAGGAGAAAAGAAAGAAAGACAAAGGGGAGTGTAGCAGACGGACAGGCTCGACTAGACAAAGGGATTCTGAGGAGAGAAATCAAAGAAAGATCGATGTAGAGGGAGAGAAATAGAGAGAAGGGGAGAGAGAGAGAGAGAGAGAGAGAGAGGAAGAGGGAGGGAGAGGGAGTGAAAGATGCTGACACTAGACTTTAAGGGCTCTCCATGGCATTCCACTAACCGGCCTCTTCTCTTGAGGAACAATAAAATATCAAACCCAGAGCCAAAATGTCACAGCCTTCCTCCCTCCCTCTCTCCATCTCCATCTCCATGTCCCTCTCTCTCTCTCTCTCTCTCTCTCTCTCTCACACACTCACACAAAAAAGCAAGCAGCTTCTAGGTAATGAGGCTCATTTTCATGGCAGGAACAGGAGCACAGTCTCTAAGGCACCGTTATTCACACATACATACACCACACACACACACAAAAAGAGGGAGAGCAAGAAAGAAAGAGAAAGAGAGAGAAAAAGATGTGTGTATATATATATATTTTCATGTGTGATGTATGTGTATATATATATATATATATATATATATGTGTGTGTGTGTGTGTGTGTATGTGTGTGTGTGTATGTATACACACTCCACACCTTTCTACTTTACTATTCATATATGTATCTCTTTTTATCTCCAGCAGCCCTGTTAGGTCGACACACTAACACACCACCACCACGTCAGTGTCCGTGCAGTGCTGAGAATGACCCACCACACAAACACCTGCTGTGTGGTGGTCTTGTGGGGGTTCTGACCACTAAGGTGAGGCAGGGTGAAAGGAGGCCAACAAAGTATGCAGAGAACCAGATGGACTGCAGTCCAATTGTAGAACTACAAAGTGCTCCTATATTGTACGCTGAGCTGATAAAATGGACAATGAGCTTTCACCGTGGCAAGACCGTTAATAAAACAAACACAACTGCAATAATCAAAGCCATTTCTCAGCCAACGATACTAAAGCAAATCCACTCTATGTAGTAAAACAGCAATGGCAAACCTAGCCACTTCAGTGGAGAGTTCAAAATAAATGTAATAAATAAAATAAAAGTCAAATGATTTTAATGCCATTCAAAATACATTCTCTCAAACTCTCTTAATCTTGCCAGCAAAGAGTGTTATACAAGTTGTAATTGAATAACTCAGAAAGAAGCCAGGCTGCAGAAAAAAAAATGCCACACTGAGCTTAGTTCTTATGCAGCCTTTCCAAAAACAGCTGTTCAATAACCACTTTAATAAAAAGCAATTGTCCTGTAAACACAACATTTCAGCAGTAACAGCCCAACTCTCACAAAGGCGCAGTTCAATATGAATCCAAAACCTATTTAAAGGTCAGCCTTTTAACACTAGATCAGCAGAAGGAGCAAACAAGAGCATCTGAGGTCTCCAGCTCCAACACTGGAGGGCCATAGTGCTTCAGAGTTCATCATTCTACCTCATTTAACACATCTGCTTCCACTCATCAGCTAGTGCCCAAGGTCTTCATGAGCTACACTGAGCAAGTCTGCAATCTGTGGCCCTCCACGACCTCAGTTTGACACCCTACCGAACACCCCTGTCTGTCTACCAAACAGGGGCTTCTTAAAATACTTCTCTGCGTTCACTTCTCATGCTAGCATCACCACAGTGCTTTGAAAAATGTGGTGGTTTTCTCAAAGACATTCCTATTGGGGAGTTTGAAAAAACCCACTGCAGCATGTGATGACACACAAGAAGATGGCATCAAGAATAGCATAAAAAATAACCGTTGCATGGTGCATTAGACATGCATTCATCTTAGCATCCATGTGTGTCATTATCTCTCACAAAAGCCTCTAATACAACTTTTCTCAATAGAGAATTCTTTGCGAGATGGCTAGGTAAGGAGGAGGAAGAAGTACAGTCTTGAAAGAAGAAATAATCACAATCAGCAAATGTATGCAGGATGGAAGAGATGACTACTATAGAACAGCAGGAGACAGGAGGCATAGATAGATAGACAGATTCCTTCTACATGCTTCACCCAAAGCACTCCATGGTAAAGATTCTGAATGCTCTGCAATCAAACCCCCAGGTCTGCTCACTGGAACAGATAAAGCTCAGTGAGGCTTCTGTCCATTACCAGCCAAAAAGCTCTGGGTTTAAGCCAGGGATGTCCACCAGTAAACTTTGGCCCTGCAGGTCCAGAGTCCAGCACTGTTTGGTATGTTTCTGCTCTAGAGGCCTGAGCACACTGACCACCAACACTTCAATGGTCAGAGACTAACTAACCAGTGTGAATGAAGGACACCTTTCTAGAACAGTACAAAATGAGAAGACCAAACTAAAACAGTGTGAATGTATGGGAACATTCCAGAGCTGTGTGAATGGAGGAGAATATTCTAGAGCAGTGTCAGTGGGAGAGAAAATTCCGGAGCCGTGTGAATGGAAGAGAGTATTCTAGAACAGTGTGAGTTGGCAAGAACATTCTAGAGCAGTGTAAATTGAGGTTGAGCATTCTAGAACAGTGTAAATTGGGAAGAGTAGTCTAGAACAGTGTGAAGGAAGCAGAGCATTCAAGAATAGTGTGAGTGCAGGGAAGCATTCTAGAGCTGGGGGAATTTTAGGAAAACGTTCTAGAAAAGCATGAATGGAAGAGAATGGATGAGAACATTCTCGATGAGTGTAAGTGGGGGAGAACATTGTAGAGCAGTACAAATGGGGAGGACATTCTAGAACAGTGTGAACGAGGCAGAACAATCTAGAACGGTGTGAATGGAGGAGAGAATTCTAGAACAGCATGAATGAGGGCAGCATTCTAGAAGTGAGTGGGTCAAACATTGAAGAGCAGTGGGAACGGGGAGAACATTCTAGAACAGTGTGAATTGAGGTCAGCATTCTGTAAGTGAGTGGGTAAAACATTAAAGAGCAGTGGGAATGGGGAGAACATTCTAGAACAGTGTGAACGGAGGTCAGCATCTTATAAGTGAGTGGGTCAAACATTCTAGAGCAGTGTGAATGGGCAGAACATTCTAGAACAGCGTGAACAGAGCATTCAGGAGTGCATAAACACGTGTATAAACGTTCTGATGCATTGTATTCACTTGATTTATTTACATTTGTAGGCTTACATCACATGAATAAAATGCGTTGCATTGATTGAACGTCAACAGTAGATAAAATAGACAGGGCTGTGTTGATAAAGTATATATAAGATATGAAATGGATTTTTATTTATTTCTAAATCAGTCACAGCTGAATCAAGAGCATCCAATGCATCACTTTTTTCAGTGAAGCTCCCCAGCCAAACGTTTGTTTCTGTTTGTTGGGTTGATGTGCTCTGGCCTCCATTCACCACCTAAACCTGGGGTGTATTCCACAAAGCAGGATTTCACAGTTCACCAGGTAACTTAAGCCCACAGATGAGGACTACCCAGTGGAAATGTCCCTCAGCTCTTTTCCTATCGGACAGGCTTGACTTTGTGGAATACCCCCCTGGTCACTGACTGCTGAGCTGAATATGGTTCATCCAAACTGTGCTGGACCCTGGCCCACCAGGACCCCCACAGCTGGGGATCCCAGGATTAAACTACACTACCAAACCTTACCAAACAACAAGTGTACAGTTTAAGGACAGTGTGGGCGCGTGCGTGCATGCGAGCGTATGTGTGTTTTTTACAGAGCCAGACTCCGTAAATGAGCGTGATCTCCAACTCGTCTGGTCACTTCCTGAATCTGAAAGAGGGTCACTCACGTCTCTGAATCTGTTCCAGTACTTCTCCTTGTCGTAGTGGGACGCGCCGCTCATCCATTTGTCCGAGTCCAGCGGGTTCGCGTGGTTGTTGTGGCTTTCATCGTTGTTGTTGTTGTTGTTGTTTATAGAGACCGCCGTGTCCACGCGCCTGCCGTCTGCGCGCAGCAGCAGCAGCGCCGCGAGAGGCAAGAGCAGCCCGTACAGCATCGCCTGCAGGAGAGAGAGAGGAGCAGAGAACGGGAAAAAGAGAGAGAGACAGAGAGAGGAAAGAAAGAGAGAAAGTGGAAACAAAGAGGAAAAGGAAAGAGGGAGTGAAAGAGAGGAGAAGAAAGATAGACAGAGGAACAGAAAGGGGAGAGAAAGAGGATGATAAATGAAAGCGGGAGATGAGGGAAGACAGAAAAGGAAAACCTCACTGGACGTGGACGTGCAGGGCGCGCGGACACAACACACGCGCCACGCCGTGCTATAGCGCACACAGACAGTAACGGCTCGCGCTCTGCTTGCTGCCGTCCAATAAGCGCTAATTGCAGGGCGCCTGGGCCGCTGCTGTGGGATTATGGGGGATTATAAATGCTGGAATATGTCGCGCTAATGTGATTACTGCTCTGGCTGAAACGGTGGAACGAGGTGACCGAGCGCAGCGGACGAGGAGAGCGCGCGCGAGGAAACACTCACGCACGCACACGCACACACATACACACAAACGCACGCACGCTCACGGGCGCATCAGCGCGCAGACCCGAGGAGGCGCGCGCGCTTTGGAGATCCCCGCTACCCTGCAGGTTAACTCCGTCCAGTTTAGGAGCGTGTACTCACCTCGGGTGGCCCGCGTGCGGCTCGCTCGCTGTGCAGGGGGCTGAGGGGGGGTGAGAGAGCGCGAGCTGGTTTTCTTTCGGGGTCGGCGTGAAAGTGGTCGGTGTCACCGTGCTGGAGAAGCGGAGCGCGTGCGGAACGGCAGAGTCTGCGCAGCTTCACTGAACAGCTCGAGAGAGACGAAGAGGAGAGAGAGCGAGAGAGAGAGACTCCTCCTACCGCACACACACGCGCACACACAAACACACAGGCTCCTCCTACTGGTTCTCTCTATGACGCATTTTTTCCCCACCCAAATTCTATAACCCCGCCCCCTACGTCCGTATTGACTGGTTATAATAATAATACATGTACTATTATATATTTAAAGAAAGTGTATTAATTAATCAATTAATTATTAATCAATGACTACTAATAATTATAACAATTCTAATAATAATTAAAAATAATGTTTGAATTCTTACATATAAAGGAAACTCAATTAATCGACTGATTAATAATAGTTAAATAAATAAAAAGTACTTATTATATTGCTTATTATATAAAAGTACTACTACTACTACCACTACTGATAACAATAATAATAATAATAACTTTTTATATAGGCTTACTTATTTTAAACTTGTTTTAAATGTTACAATTTATTATGAAAAAAGAAAAAAGTGCAGCCAGTACCAGCGAGTGGGCGGCGGAGATTGTTAAAATACGGTGGGAATAAAAATCAATAACTAAACAGCGTTTCTTTGACTGATTGATTAAGACAGAAATCAGCGGTGAGCTCAGTCGAGAGCAGCTCTAATAGCCGGGGTGGTGAAGTGAGGGCTGTGACTTTGCGCGGAGAAGGGAATGAGAGGGAGATCAATAGACCCACATAAAAGTTACATGCACTTATTCCCCAGTCAGATCTAAACAAATTAAAACCAGCTTCTGTTTTCATTTGGAGTCAAGACTGGTGGTGGTACAGCGCAGCAGGGAGATTATACGGTTAGTCACAGACCACTAACTGAGCGCTATGGCCAGGGGAGTAAAACAGAAAAGAAAGAAAAGAAAACAGAAAACTGTTTATATCTTTCTGCTTCCTGAACAGGCAGAGTGTAACTCCTTAATATATAGGATTTACACACATCATGGCTAAATATATATCATGTCTACTTGGACATTACATGTACGAAAGTCTGTAGACACACGCCCATCATTTCTTTCTGAAATTAGGGCATTAAGAGGGAGTTTGCTCCCCTTTGATGTGGTAACAGCCTCTACTTTTCTGGTAAGGCTTTTGGAACATTGCTATGAGGATGTGATTGCATTCAGCCACAAGAGCATTAGTGAGGCCATGTACTAATGTTGGACGGTGAGCTCTGGGTCACAAACTGGTTGGATCACTGCTCTGGCTCCATCACTCCAGAGATCCCCATTCTATTGGCAATAATTTTCTCTAGAGGGTAGAGGAACAGCACTGCGGTTGTGTTCCTTCAGCAGGAGCTGTCCTCAGTAAGATCTAAACAAATTAAAATGCTCAAGCTTCTGTTTTTATTTCAGCTTACGTCTGGTGGAGGTAAAGTGCGGCTGGGAGATTATGTGGTTGGTCACAGATCATTGGCTGCAGTGCTGCAAGCAATATTTTAAGTCCACAGGAATAATAAAAAGTAAACAAAAAGATAGGAAAGCAACTATTTACATATTGTTGTACACATATCTTTTGACAGAAGCAGTTTACACATTCAGTATTACACTCACATAGGAGCTGTTCCTTCAGTATTACACTCACATAGGAGCTGTTCCTTCAGTATTACACTCACATAGGAGCTGTTCCTTCAGTACCACACTAGAATAAGAGCTGTTCCTTCAGTATTACACTCATATAGCAGATTTTTGTGTTACAATTATATAGGAGCTGTTCCTCCAGCACTACATTCATACCGGAGCTGTTCCTTCAGTATTACACTCATATTGGGGCTGTTCATTCAGTCTAACACTGATATAGTAGCCGTTCCTTCAGTATTACACTCTTATAGGAGCTGTTCCTTCAGTATTACACTAAAATAGGAGCTGTTCATTCGGTATAACACTCATATAGAAGCTGTTCCTTCAGTATTACACTCATATTGCAGCTGTTCCTTCAGTATTACACTCTTGTAGGAGCTGTTCCTTCAGTACCACACTGAAATAAGAGTTGTTCCTTCAGTATTATACTGATATAGAAGATTTTTGTGTTACATTTATATAGCAGCTGTTCATTCAGTATTACACTCATATATGAGGTGTTACTTCAATGTTACATTCATATATGAACTGTTTTTTCAGTATTACACCCCTATAGAAACGGTTCCTTCAGTATCACACTCAAATAGGAGCTGTCTATTCAAGATTATACTCGTATACTATGTAGGGGCTACTGCTTCATAGCAACACTCACGCTGGAGCTATTCTTTCAGCACTGCACTCATATAGGAGCTGTTCCTTCACTGCTCATATAAGAATTGTCCATTACTGTCATACTGAGGAGAGTTAGTGATGTAGTCACAAGAGCTGTCCCACCAGAACTATACTGTAACGACAATAATACAATACTGATGTGGATTAGTGACACCATCCCTATAGTCTCTATTCTCTTTAGAGCTGTTAGAGTTATTTATTCTGCAATAGTTTCAAGGCACAAAGTAAAGAGACACTAATACATCCACTGATTGTTTGTATATGGATGGTTTGTGAGAAGTTGGAGTGTGCATTGTACTGTTAGCTCACAGTAATTAAACCTTCAATAACAATGTGTGGACATCTTAAACTTGCCAAAGACAATGTGGGTTTTTTGTGACATCACAAAAGCAACCAATATAAAAAGAACTATTTTTGCAGCATTTTGAAACTTCACCAACGTTTACATACAACATCAAACTCCTCAATTTAAAAAGGAGAGGATAATTTGGTTTTCCATGATATGTGCCCTAGAAATTTACAGTAACGCATGTCTGGATGGTTTTTGTTTTATATCATATTGTGATCTCTGGGTTGAATCTCCATTGTGTAATGGAGGTAGAAAAACAGCAAATGCAAATTTCCATGAGAAAATAAAACAGCTAAACTGTGCATTGTGTCTCAAAGCAAGACTTACTACGCAGTCTACAGCCTAAATGATGTAATAGGGACAGGACTGAGGTCTTTTTTTTAAACACTTGGATGCACAGAGACAGTGGTGGCTGTTCGCCTCGAGCCAGCTCCAGTCTCATATCCACACACATCCACCGTGACAGACTCGATACGAAAAGTGTGTGAGTGTGTGTGTATGTGTGTGTGTGTGAGTGAATCCAGTGAATCTTCAGGGTCCCCCGAGGGAGCATTTTCAACCAGGTGTCCACATATATCTGAGAAGACAAACGTGTACAGAGAGAGAGCGAGAGAGACAGGGAGACAGGGAGAGAGACAGGGAGGCAGGGGGAGAGAGAGAGAGAGAGAGAGAGAAAGAGAGAGAGAGAGCGTGAGTGAGAGAGAGAGGTAGATATGGAGAGAGAGAGAGAAGAAGGGGGAGAGAGGAAGACAACCCAATAGAATAGTACACATGAGTATGTATAGATAAAGAGAGAGATACAGTGAGACACACACACAGAGAGAGAGAGAGAGAGAGAGAGAGAGAGAGAGAGAGAGAGAGAGAGAGAGAGAGAGACATTTTAAAGCAATTCGAACCTGTACAGTCTGATCAACTTGTTTCACTCATAGATCTGCATAATGACCTTAACGCCGGCTGAACAGGCGCTGTTTCCATGTGATCTGATGAAGTAAAGCCTACTTTCCACTGAATACGAAGAAAACTCAACTCGTCCTCCAAAGAAACTTGCGGAGAAAGGGAAGGAAACCTTTCATGAGGCTCGATCTTCAGTCTGAATTCGTGTGTGAACGGTGGTGGTAGAGAAAGCGCGGCTGACACGCGGCTCAGTGGCATGAAGGTGAGAGATAGGGGAATTAAAGTCTCCGCTGAGTGGCATACGGAGGCAATAAGCACGGCTGAGGATTTTAATTGGAACTTTTCAGCTGTGCAGTCAGGTGCATCGCCTCGATATTGAGAGCGGTTTCATATTTTTCACCCTCTCTCTGATTAATGCCATTTAATTATTCATTTATCAGAAGCGTATATTTATTCAACAATGGATTGTGCCAATTCAACATTACCTGAAACAGGCATTTTCAGCGCGGCGTAATTAGTTCCCTCTGAAAACGATCTCCTGCGAGTATGAAACGGTGGGGGGCGGGGGGGGGGTGGGGTGTGTGTAGAAAGCCCCTGACCAGGAGGCAGCAGATGGCGACATGGTGCCCCCTGCTGGCAGAGGAGATAACTACAACTCTCAGTGGTTCACCAATCTGCAGCTACACTCTTGAAAACAAAGCTACCAGAAAGTAGTGCTTAGCGGCGCTGATAACATTTAACATCACAATATTTCCTAATTATATCACGGTATCAGGTAATGTTTAAGCTTGGATTTGAGGTAATGAACTGAGTGCTGGTAGACTAGGCTTAAAGAGCCTATTACAAACCTGAGAGAGCTTGTTTTGATTGGAAAAATGGCCTGGTAACAGGGACACCACTATTTTATGGAACAGAACAGAACAGAATGTTTATCATCTTTCAGTCTTGCTGAAACTAAAAACCAATGTTGCTGTGTCATGATGCATCATACTGCACTCAGCCTTACAACAAAAGGTTATTTGGAGCCAATTTTAGTTCCCAAACGAATCTTTCAATGGGAAAGATAAAAGGAACATTCTCAGCCCCTAAGGCTGTAGCATGTGGAGTCCCTCAGGGGAGTGCACTAGGGCAATTTTTTATTTTTTATTTTTTTTTTTGTATATGCATGATTTTTGAGTAGCTTGCTTGTGCAACCTGTTCATTTACGCTGATAAGTTCAAAGATTCGGCCTGATAATAAACTCTCCCTCAATTTTGGGAAAACTGAAGACATTTTGTTTGGTTGTAAAGATAAGTTAAGAAATCCTTCAGATTTTCCACTGAAGGTAGATCAGACCCCAATTTTTAATAAATCGACATTAAATTATTTAGGCTGGGTTTTAGAAAAGCAGTTATCAGGGGAGGCAATGGCCTCTAAAGCTTTAATTAAAACTGGTCAAAGAAACACATTTCTAGCTAAGAAATCTGCATTACTAGATGTGTCAACTTTATAACTGTGGCTTTGGCATTAATTCAAAGGATTTTTTATTGCGAGTGCCATTTTCTGGTGTGGCAAATCTCTTCAACCCATGAAGAATAAACTTCAGACAGCTCAAAACAAACTGATTAGGACTGAATTGAAAATATCTTCCTGTACGCATTTGAAAGCAGATCAATTAAAAAAAATGTAACCCTTCTTCCTTTGGATAAAAGAGTCAATCAAGCTGAGACTTACTCATGAAATTCCTAACAAATCTCTGTTAAATTGCTTATTCAATTATTTTACAAATGCACTAAGGGATTTTTTTTGTGTTCAGCATGAAAGAAACAACATTACTGAGTCAGGAAGACGCTAAAAATATAGTGTACTTGCACTGCTGTCGCCCTGCACAGTCTGAAATAAAAGTTTTATTAGATAAGTCAGAGTAAGGCTGGGCAATATGACAATATATATTGTTATCATGATAAATGATGTTGTAATACAAAATAATATGCTTTTTTGAACATATTGTGTATATCGCCAATACTTGTAGAACACTGACCAACTGCCTGTTTTATTATAAAGAGAGCAAAATTAGTCCCATTTAAATGGATTTATTGCAACACACTGTACCAAATATTGAATAAAATTATTGTAGTCGGTTTTTAATTTTTTTTAGTCTACAGGTTCTTTTTTCTGTTACAACTGATCAGATGTCAGAAAAAATAAAGACTGTGACATTTCGTGTATCATGACAATTTCTTGAAGTATTGCAATATGATATTTTTGCCATATCGCCCACCTCTAATTTAGGGTCAGGGTGGATTTCAGGGGAGTTTTTGGGAAACACAAGTCTTTATGTATTAATGTACAGACTCAAAAAGAACACTGATGAAGATATGATTACAGCAGTAGATAATTTACATCTTTGGAAAACACGTTCTTCGGCAAGTTTTGACTGAGTTCTCTATACTCTTTGAACACATGCACATATATCAGATTCATCCACTCGGGGAAGGGGTCCGAAGCACAAGCCACATTACAAAAATGTTCTTCTACACTTTACACTTTTCCACCAGAAGTCTCCAAATCCCCAAATCTTACATAGTGCAGCCCAGAAAGACACAGCCAACAACATCATATAGCATAGTTTGAGTGCTATTTCAGGATAGATTTGTTACAGGATTGAATCAAATTCATTCTTTTTCCCATCCAGTGTCTGATCCAGCATTATCTACTGATATTGGCCCAGTACCAATACCTGGTATTGGGTCAGTGGCTTCTCTGTTCCCATACTAATTAAAGTTTTCTCCTAGAACCGCATGTCCAAAATGAGAAGCCTTTATTTTTAAGAGTGTACCCCATTGTTTGTTTGTTTTAAGAGTCAATGCTTTTGAATGGCTGCCTCAGAATCAGATGAAATGATGTGTCAGTGGACTAGAACCAGCTCTGTTTAACAAACATTGCATAAACAAGCAAGCCGCTGGTCATATTTAACAAGGACTTCTGATCAAACAGAGAGATCTGTGTCTGTTTGTCTTTTTTCTTCTTGAATGAAGAGGCAAATTTATCTGAAATGTTTAATAATTTTCACAATATAAATCTCACGTTTGTGCAGCATGTCATGGCACTGCACACAGAGGTTTGCATAGAAAGTGGGAGAAAAAAAAACAAAGAGAATGAAAAAGGGAAAGACATAAGGTTTTGCATATTAATTGTTGGCAGTAGTAGATAGTTGGTCCACAGTGAAGGTCAGATATCCTTACATGTTTCCTCTGAGAGCCATATCACATCTGTCCGCTCTCTAGGTCCTCTGTAATTAACGGTAACACTCAGCCCTTTATTAAATCTTTTTTGTCTTACTACTGGACCCTGAGGGACACCTCTATTTGCCAGAAGTGTATTGTAGATAATGCAGCCTAGAAAGTGTACTGAGTGTCTCTTTTCACCAGCGGTTACTTCTGGCAGCTACATCCTCATCCATAATTCGTGGAAGACGGCCACTAGCCCCGCCCTCAAGATAGCCAGACTTAACCAAAGGGGCTTCAGGGGGTTTCATCTTGCTTTTATTTAGATCTGGAGAGAAAGAGAGAGAGAGAGAGAGAGAGAGAGAGAGAGAGAGAGAGGAACAAAGGTGAACGAAAGAGTGAGTGAGAGTTAGTGAATAAGCGAAACTACATAGCTTATATAGCTAAAATGACCAAAAAAAGACATTTAAACAATATATTAGGAAAACCTATAGAGGTTTACAGAATTTAGACTTGCAATACATATGATATAAATGCAGTGGTCCTTAATAAGATAAAAAATGTAAACATAAATATTATATTTGTATGTATAAGAACTATATCGTACTGCAGCATACACAGATATACAGGATGATAGGGAAGAAGGCAAACAGATAACATCACAGTAACCGTATTACAAGACAAAGATAACCTGAGTGGCCTTATCGAATCATTGTCCTGAATTTTGCAGTTGGAAACCATCTCAGCTGAGGTGTGATTGAGCTTGATTACACCCAGCAATTCAGATGCCTTCTGTTCCTCTATAAAAAACTCAAGCTGCTCTGCCAAATGCTTACCAGAAATAGCCAGCAGCATCTTCCTCCTGGCCCCGAATGTGGACACACCCACTTCCTTCAGGTCTTCTTCAGAGAGAGTGAGGAATGTTTGATAGTCAATCTGATACAGAGAGAAAGAGATTTTAAAAAGGTCCTCCCTACTCATACATCTCATTTACAAAAACAGTTCTTTATAGAACCATTCATTGAAAGGTTCTTTAGGGAACCAAAAGTGTCTCTTTTATGACATCAAACCGAAGAACCCCTTTTGGCAGTTTTACTGTGCAAACTTACCATGGCTTTTAACCAGAACACACAGTGTTATTGATGCAAAGCATTACTATTATGAAGCATCAAAAGCTAACTGACTGCTAATGCTGCCCCCTTGTGGAGAATTTTCAGCCTGCTGAATGTGAGTGAGAGAGTTACAAGCGAGGTCCATGAGGTGCTTAACAAAATTTGCATGAAAAAAATACTCAATTTTGGGGGCTAATCATAAAAACAAATGTGAACATAATTAAATCGGATAATTATATACTTGTGTAGAGTTGCTTGTTGATCTGAAGCAAAAATATACAGATAAGTCAGCATTGGCAGAGTGCAGCTGTGGTTAGCCAAAAAGCTAACATAGCAATTAATAAGCTGTATAACTCACCTATCATAAAGAGTTAAAACAGAAAAATTATACTAGATAATTACACACTTGCCACATCATAGTGTTGCACTCTGATCTGTAGTAAACAGTGTAGATAACTGGCCTGGCTGGTTGCAGTGGGGTGATCTGTGTGCAGCTGCAGTTAACCATGGGCATAATATCTCAGTTAGAAAGCTGGCTAACTTGTCTACCACAAATGGTCACATCACAATAGTTATAGTAATATTATGCAGTATCTATTTAATGTGTTCATTCATAGCCAGGGCGGAAGAAATGTTAACCCTCCAGAGTTTGAAGGCATTTTCTTGATTTTTGCATATATTCCTAAATTCACCTTTAAAGGCACTTGCATATGACATGATACCCACATATTACATATCAAAATGTTCAGAACAATCTCAGCTCTCTCTATAATGAGGTCCTTTTGACCTTAGTAAAGAGATAATTGGGCCCTTAAACTGAAAAAATGAAATCCGGTTTTAGAAATTCTCAACATCGCTTGTATAAACAGAGCTTTACTCATGTATGAGCTGTTTTGGTGCTTGAAATGGGTTTATCAAAGTGTTAGGTTCACAAAAGTAGTGGAATGCATTATTTAAATTGGTAGTGAATGTTATCCTCATCACTATTTTCCAAAAAAGCTGCAGCAACTTCAGCAGCTGCAAACTTTTTACATACCACTCGCATCTGTGTCCAAGGGGACTGAGCAACAAATGTTTTCAACATGATGAGTAAGTCAGTGATTTCCTGAGTGTCCATTGGTCAGTCTCAGGCAAAATATAGACAGACACATGAATCCACCAAATCCAAGCGAGAGGCAGATGACGGACACACAAATTTACCAACTACACACAGTGAGAAGCAGATGGCATGTGTCTCAACTTTATTGGCTCATAACTCTGAATGTGAGTCACGTGCTATCTTGTGATGTGATGGAATGGAAAAGACAACTCTACAGATACAGAAACTGTTTAAATTGTATTTCTGCACGGTATTATCACAAAGATATTATAGAAACACAGAGAAACGTCTAGTTTGACGCGCCGGCAGGGTTAAAAGGTTTGTGCTTAGATACTATGCGTGTCTCAAGGTGAAGGCTACAGCTGAGGTAGGAGAGACCTTGCTGGCACTGGTAGGCTCCCCTTGAGTTCTCATTCATGGACATTGGAGACAGTCTGAGCAGGTTTACCAACACAACATGATATAAGTTATGCGACACGTTTAAATCTTATGTTTAAAAACCTGGTGCCCAGTATTCCACCACTCACAGCTGTTCCCTTTTTCAAAAGGTTTTGTGCTGTGCATAAAGGATTATTGGTGTCAGAGGGTCTGGAAGGGTACACCATTTGGAAAGGATGCATTTTTGGATCCTACAAGAAGGATCAGCCTTCAGTCATGTAACAGCCAAGAAATGCAGGCTTCCTCTGCAGCATCCTTGGCTTGGATACATGATTGCTGGTTAAAATAGCATTGCCTCCATTTTAAATATTCAGTGTTGCTGTTTGAAGGGCAAAATAGTTAAAGCAGTACATCAAAGATGCAATTTCATCTGTCAAAGTTTCACATTCAAAATTTATCCAGAAGTCTGTGACGTGACATTGCTCATCGTAGAAAATTCTATTGAAATTAGGGTAGTTTTGTGATATCGCTCATGAAAATGTGCTTGCAAACACTAACAATTACTGTGGCAAATTCTGCTGAAATTAATGCAAATTTGCTACCAGAACTTTGCTTGTGTGACTGGTCCTTAAGACTGATAGATAGTTTACCTCTTGATCCTGAAACACTGTGTTGTATTTCTCCAGGCCCAGCTGTATCAATAACTCCATCAAATCGTCTTTGGGCGGAGGGGAGGGGCTTGGAGGTCTGCCAATCAAGGGCCTGGACACTGCTTCAAAGTAGCTGCTGCTTTTCAGATACCCCTCAGCTGCAAGACCAAGGTTCAAAGGTCAAATCCCAAAATAGGATGTACAGGATGGTCAAACTGCTGTACTGTACGTATATAAATATCGAGTTCAGGTGTGAAAAGCATTATCATTTATTTATTAATAATTTAACTCGAGTCTCAGGTTTGCATTCACTTCTAGAGTTCATAATTAATTAGTCAATTACAATCTCACTCAAAACACATTTATAATAGATCAGCACACCGGCATGTCTCAGGCAGAGAATCCAGACCTAAAGGTCTCACCTAAACGTTGCTCCAGCTTGTGCAGTAGGAACAGGATAGTCTCACTTTAGCTGTGTCACGAGCTTTAGCCGTGTTTCAGTCTGGCTCCTGAAGCATTTGAATGTATAGATGTTGCTAGTGGAAGCCAAAGTAAGTGCTTTCTAAGCTTGTGGATGAGTGAGAGGGATTGAGCGACATTGCTTTCAGTGAGAGCTGCTAAGCCCTGAAGACTGAGAATCCGACTGACTTTGACTTCCAGTGCCAAGAGAAAATGAGCTCTGCTTATCAACTGACGACGTTGGGACGTTTGATTTGATAAAGCTTGCATGACATGCAGTCATTGCAGACTTTGATAGGTCTGCATCCTCTAGTCTGATCCGGTGTTCGTTCTCATATTTTGTGCCAAAGATAAACCCGAAATAGTTTAGTCCATGACATTTAGGGCAAGCTGACCTCAAAAGTGTGCAGCTGAATCACTGACACATTTTTCCACAGGTGAAAATGCATTCCTTCTTTTAATGACAGCATGCACGCTAGTTGGCATGATAAGTAGATCAAATTCACCAGAGAGTTGTCTAAATATGAGCTTCAATAGAAGAGATAAGACAGAACAAGTAAACTTTGTTATATACATTGTATATAAAATGGTATGGAATGGAAACAGAAACTCTAGAAAGTGGCAATGGAAATATATATATATATATATATACACTGTATATTACATATACATCTCTTTAGCTCCTTTCCATGGCTCTTTATTATATCTATTATATTTTTATTTTATTTGTCCGTATGGAACGAGGCCACTTCACTAGACCTCATGTTTGAAATAATTCATATCGAATTACAAAATTTTTTTTTTGTTATCTCCAACAAAAAGTGAAAAATTCTCTGGCTTTGAAGCCTCTTGCAGCTGTTATTCACTGATCTGCTCTCTGTAGCCTCTCCATGTTAGACAGGGGCAGAAAGTGTAGGGAGGATATCGCTCACACTGAAGAAGATGCCAGACTGAATGTGAAGAAAACCAAACAGAGTGAAAAGCTCATGAGTCTGAGGCTGCACAGGTTTGCTGCTGAAGCTCTAATGGCGCTTAAACTAAAAAAAGATGCCATGTAAGGGCATGTGAGAGGAAAAGAGGAGGATGTGATTGCTGTGTCGTGTCTGTCTGTGGGCCATAACTGAGACAGGGCGGCTGGAAGAGCACAGCCTAGAGAAGGGTGTGTGATGGGGCCTGTTACATTAGCAAGACCCTTGAGAGAGAAAACACAGCCGAGGCCAAACACTCAAACTCAACACACTGCCAGAGTATACTGCAGGCATGAGAGAGAGAGAGAGAGAGAGAGAGAGAGACAGACAGAGAGAGAGAGAGAGAGAGAGAGAGAGAGAGAGAGACACAGAGAGACAGAGACAGAGAGAGATGGCAGGTTATTGGATGCAGCTACCTTACAGCTACACTTGATGGCAATAAAATCAAGAAACACCTACCAAATAGATTCACCTTGTAGGTTTACAGCTACTGATTGAACAATTTATCAACCCCTCCATCAATGGAAAAAGACCACTATAAGACTACTACTGACCAGATATTAGACCAGATATTATTTGGATCGTAAATCACTCTCAGCAGTGCAGTTACACTCACATGATAGTGGCATCTTAGCATACGATGCAGGTGCAAGTAAATGAGGCATCACAGCATTTTGTGTTTTAAACACACATTAGCATCAGTGCTGGGCTACGAATAGTCTGCCAACCAAAAATATCAAGAATCGGTCATGTGGTCAGAAACTGACTTCTGATAAAGGACTTCTCATAAAGGTTAGCTCTATTTTTAAATTGCGAGCTGTGCCATGTTTTGTGCTTAAAAAGAAGCAGGACACGCTTTTTATAGGGCAGGTTAACACATTTGCTTGATTGACAAGTAGGTAAACAGTTATTGAAAGAACAGGAAAGATGACTGATCAAAATTTAGAAACTGACAGACATGACAATAAATAGAAACCATGTTGAGAAAAGGTGTTTTCACGCTGAGGTTATGAAAATCCTTCAAAACGCAAGTTGTTGTGTGTGGTTTCAAAGAGGCAGAGTGATTTTCAGTTGTGATGCACAATCCCCGATGCAATATATAAATAACGATGCAAAGAAATGCATCTGATTGCGCCTTTAACTACAAACTAACTGACCAACTAACTTAACTACACACTTAAAAATGATGGTTCTTCAAGGGTTCTTTAGTAAAGAAACGCTCAAAGAACGCTTTGCATGGTTAAAAGGTTCTTTGCATAGTGAAAGCATTCTTCAGATTGATGGAGAATGTGCTTAGATGGTTCTACACAGAATCTTTTTGAAAAGGGTTATTTATAGCACCAAAAAGGGTTCTTCTATTCTTACAAGCTTGACATTGTACCACAGAAGAACACTTTTCAGAAAGGACCTATATAGAACCATCTACAGCACATTCTGAAGAACCCTTTCGCAATGCAAAGTCATGCAAAGGGTTCTTTGAATGTTCATGGTTCTATATAGAACCATTTTCTTCACTAAAGAACCCTTGAGGAGCCATCATTTTTAAGAGTGTAACTAAAACTAACCAACAAAGTAGGTGTGTTCAATAACAGTGACAGTGAGTGTACACAGTGTTTAAAAATCACAGCAACACTGCTGTGTCTGATACATTCATACCAGCCTGTTGTCGGCAAGTCTGCTGCATTTCATCTCTTAACATAACCAAAAACAACTTACTCTGAGGGCCTTTGACTGACATGCAAAATAACCAACTACAGACTGTAGTTTTAGCATGGCGTATAGGGGCAGGCTATTTTTATAACTTATGCCACAACAAAAACAGCCCTGCAGGAAACAAACTGATACATGTCAGCAAACACTTAAGGATATCTAACCTAAACACTACTCAATGCTTCAAATAACACTACTACTGAATAACTTTTAAAGATGTTATGATGAGAACTTCGATCTGAAATGTTCAGTTACAGCATGCAGAGCGGGGAACTGCTTGCAAAAGTGTATTTCCTGTCAAACCCATAAGTCTGTATACACAGAGGTTTGGTAGCCGATATGAGTGCAACTGGCAAAATCCCTACAGTTGTAACCATTTTAACGTACACTAACTTTCAGACGCTCTGTATACATGTGGGTAAAGCATCTAAGCTTGAGACATTTTGGGAATAGTCCACCACTCAAGTAATACCTGGTCAGTGGTGGTCCTATAGACGGAGTAGTGGGGGCTGATCAACTGTGCAGCAAAAGAAGGTCTACATTCAGTGACAGTTTACCTATAGTATGCACCTATTGGGCAGGTGTTTCTGAAAAAGTGGCCAATGAGTGTAGGCACAAGGTGTTTATAATTATAAGTAAACTTTACTTACTTACTAAGCACATTTAAACAACTTGTGCCAAAACAAGTGCTGTACATAGGATGAAAACAGAAGAGATATAACAGAAATAAAATAACAGTCGATTGGTTTAAGCGTGCTCTGAAAACAGCCATCTAATTCTGTGAAGAGGACCTCAAGGATCTTTGAATACTTGAAGACGTGAGTAAATCAACAACACAAGAAGAGGCCAAGCCATTAAAAACAAATAAACGCACTTTAAACTGAACCCTAAAACAAACTAACAGTCAATGAAGTGAAGCAAAGTCTGGAGTAATATGGTGTCTTTTCTTGGTGTCAGTAAAATTAATTACAATAATCAATGCAGGAAGAAAAAAGTGATTTTAACAGAATTGATTTGTCTATCAAACTTAAGGTGAATCAAAAGTGACGCTAAGATTTTTCACAAGTGTCTTGAGGTGTGAAGATAATTGACCAAGATTACTGGAGATGTTAAAGAGGTGGAGGGAACCAAATAAAACTATTTGCGGATTTTATTTTTTTCCCCGTGAGGTTTCCTTCCTTGCTTCCTTCCTTCATTGTTTCCTTGTTTCCTTTCTTCCTTCATTGTTTCCTTCCTTGTTCCCTTTCTTCATTCCTTCATTGTTTCTTTCCTTCCCTCCTTGTTTCCTTCCTTGTTCCCTTTTTTTGTTTCCTTCCTTGTTTCCTCCCTTCCTTCCTTCTTTCCTCATTTCCTTCCTTGTTCATAACCTCCCGTTCTTGTTTCCTTCCTTCCTTCCTTCTTTCCTCATTTTCTTCCTTCCTTGTTTCCTCCCTTCCTTCCTTCTTTCCACATTTCCTTCCTTGTTCCCTTCCTCCCATTCTTGTTTCCTTCCTTCCTTCCTTCCTTCCTTGTTCCCATCCTCATTTCCTTCCCTCCTTCCTTCCTTGTTCCCTTCCTCCCATTCTTGTTTCCTTCCTTCCTTCCTTCTTTCCTCATTTCCTTTTTTCCTTCCTTCCTTGTTTCCTCTCCTTCTTCCTTCTTTCCTCATTTCCTTCCTTCCTTCCTTCCTTGTTCCCTTCCTCCCGTTCGTTTCCTTCCTTCCTTCTTTCCTCATTTCCTTCCCTCCTTCCTTGTTTCCTTCCTTCCATCCTTGTTCCCTTCCTCCCGTTCTTGTTACCTTCCTCCCTTCCTTGTTTTCTTCCGTATTATTCATTAGTCATTATTCATTTTTACATAACTGCATTCCATCCTTTATCTCTCAGAATTCAACAGGCTGTTTTTGTTACTGCCTTTAAGACTAAATGATATGGAGTCGAGTTTCAGTACATAGATTGTACAGACTGGAGAGTGAACGGTAAACTTTTAAACTTTAACAATGTTTACAAACTACAAACTCAAAATTTCAATGATATGGGCTGTTTAACATCCTCATCCTTAATAAACTGCCAGCTCAGTGTATGTGACACGTGATGTAGCTCTTAATTGCACGCACTGGACACACTTACATGTTTTTGTGGAGCTGAATGCAGCCATGGCTGATGAAGAGGATGAGGAGCAGGATGTAGGTGAAGATGAAGAGGAGGATGACACGGACAATGAAGACGCAGACCCTCGTCTCTCTCTCCAGTTCTCCGAGTCACTTCCATTACCAGTAACTCTCTCTTTACCATTCTGAGAGCCCCATGACTGCAGATGGAGAGAGAGAAACATACACACACACAATCAGAGATCAAATCCGGTCTGTTATTGCCTTGTTGTGCAGAGCATTAGTCATCAAAAGCCGTTCGCCTGATGCTACAGAAGCACCAATGCCATTTAGGCCTGTAATGCACTAAATCTATTCACTACAAAAACAGAGCACCACCATATCAAATGTCCTACCAGCACAATTTGGCACGGATCTCAACAGCCACAACTATTCACGTCCTAACGACCCACTCTAATACTAATAGACTGTAGTCCATTCGTATTTATTGTAATGTATTCACTAACCTACTGAGAGGGGAAAAAAGAGCTCTTTAAAGAACTCCCACCAATATAACGCTGCAGCGAGCTTTAGTCATTCAGAGCTTTACTAAAGACGATGGACGCCAGGCAGGGATGGAGGGAATGGTGGAATAAATGTGACAGTAATGTGATTTTCACTCTGTATCTCGCTTGCTCCTTCTCTCTCTCTCTCTTGCTCTCTCTCGCTCTAAGCAGCGATAGCTGAGTAATTGGAGTTCGGAGCGACTCAGCCAGCTTTGCTGCACTGCATGACAATAATCACATTTTGTATTTCATTCATCATTATTATTGTGTGTGTGTGTGTGTGTGTGTGTGTGTTTGTGTGTGTGTGTGTGTGTGTGTGTGTGTGTGTGTGTGTGTGTGTGTGTGTGTGTGTACACGTGTTCCTTCAGAATATTCAGGTCATTAGCACTAACCACCCTCACACCGTGCATCCCCTCTCCAGGTGGAGAGCTGTGGCCTAAAACATTGAAACGAATCCTCAGAGGAGAGAGCTCCTTTAACCTTTGTATAGTGAATGGTAATGTTACTGTGTCGGTGAAAGCAGCAGCTGCTCTCAGCAGGCCAGGAGACATGCAGCCTTGCTGCTGCTTAAGGTTAATGGATAATGAGGAGGAGCCAGGGATGATTTGGGAAAGAAACTGTGGCAGAGTACAGTGTGTGGGTAGTTTGTCTTTGTTTACATATGTTTACAGGATAAAATGTCCTGATTTTGTGGGAAAACTGGAGCTGTCAGCAATGGATTTTATTAGCAAATGAGCTTTTTGGACATCTCACTCCAACACCTTGGACATTAATATGGAGTTGGCCCCCTTTATGTCAACAACAGCCTCCAAGCTTCTGGGAAGGTGTTCCACAAGATGAACATTTTGCAGACTAATTAAATAATCAGAAAATGACCAAACAATAAAAACAGACTTAAATGAACAATAACAAATCATGGATAGTCCTTCAAAAAATTCCAAAACACTGGCAGTAAAATGGATTGTACTGAGGAGCTGAGTGACTTTACACATACCACCGACATAGGATTCCACCTTGGAAGCATTTAGGAGGAAGCGTCTTGGAATAACAACAGCTCAGTCATTAAGCGGTAGGCCACGTAGACTCACAGAGCAGTTTAGATATGCTTCCAACTTTGTGGAAACAGTTTGGGAAGGCCCTTTCTTGTTTCTTGTTCCAGCATCACTGAGCCCCTGAGCACAAAGCGAGGTCATTAAAGACATGGTTTGATGAGTTTGCTGTGGAGGAACTCCAGTGGCCTACACAAAGCACTGAACTCAACCCCACTGAACTCCTTTGGATGAACTGAAACATTGACTGTGAGCCAGGCCTTCTCATCCAACATCGGTGTGGGCCCTCACAAATGCTCTTTTGACTGAATGGGCACAAATTCCCACAGACACAATCTAAAATATTGTGGAACACTTTTCCATAAAAGTGGAGGCTGTTGTTGACACAAAGGGGTCAACTCCATATTATTGCCCATGGGTTTGGAATAGGATTTCCAATAAGCTCATATAGGT